AAAAAAAATCCGCCCGCCGACCGAAATTTTGAAAACCATGTAATGCAAAACGAAAAATCGACTTTGCGCGGCCTTAAATATATAACAACATTATTAACTTCGGGTTCGATACTAATTATGTTATTAATTATATTAAATTTTTGTATTAATTTATCTATTTGGACGAATGTGGAATTTAATTGAGACAAGGAGTTAGTTGCTTTTTTAAATCTTAAATATTTTTTATATTCTTTCATTTGTAAAGAGTTTCTCACTTCTTCGACCTTAGACTGGTCTACCGTATTGATATTTATTTTATTCGCCTTTACATCTACATATGTTCCTCCAAAATATAAATCATTTAATAACGGTTGTAATTTACCGTCTATCATAATTAATTTTGCCTCTCTTTGTAATAGCTCTGGTACTTTTTTAATTTCTACTCCCCAAAGTTCCGCCAGTGGTTCGTATTGTGCTCTAACCATTAAATCATTTTGTATTATAAAAGCGAATAAAATTAATAATGTCTTTAGATAAATGTGATTATTTCTCATATTGGATAATATATTATTAAATTTTAATAATAATACGTCAAAGGTTCCTTGATGGCTTATAGTCGCAAAGGATACTTTATAAAATAATATTAGAGACTTTAAGGTCCAATCAACATCTTTATTTTTAAATCTTGTAAATCTTTTCATATTTATGGTAATACTGTAATCCTATTTAAAATTTGTTGATTACTGTACTTTGATCCTAGTCAATCTGACTATATTCATCTGATTGACTACCATAGATCAATTTCCAGGATAATCTTCAATGAAAAATTTCACAATCATCAACTAAATAAAAAAATACAATGTTAAAAAAAAAACGACATATAAGTGCAACGCAAAGTTAAATTTTCATTTTGCATAACATGGAATCAGAAAAATTGGGTCGGTCGGTCGGAAATTTTTTTTTTTTTTTAATCTGTTGTAAATTAATAGACTCATGTTCATATTTAAGGCTATACAAAGTTAAATTTTCGTTTTCATAGCATGGAATCAGAAAATTAGGTCAGCGCTGAGATTTCCCTATCCAGCAATAACCATTGGATCCATTGTTTAAGTCATGTCTCGGGTCGTGGCTCAAGCTGTGATTTCGACATCCATGGATCAAGCTGTGGTTTCAACATCTATGGCTCAAGCTGGGGCCATTGATTTTAAGAGCCAAGCCAAGTTATACAAATCGTTATAGTTCTGATAAATAAGCTAATTACGCTCATAAATTGATAAATGATCAGCATTATATTGTCGAAAATGGGAGGAGAAATACGGTAACCGTGGAAAAATAATATTTAAACAAGCAAACTTTGCATCGCCCATAAAAAAAATATAGCTATCACATGTAAATAAAATATATATTGTATACAATATACCCTATAAAAAAAAGTCGATCTGTGTTTTATATTCCGTATTTTGTCCATAAGTGTTGCTTTAAATCATGGTGATTATTCGGCTTGCCGAGATTTTGTCGATCATGTTAAGATCCACGAGTTTTACAAAAAATATGGAGAAATAACGGAAATATTCGAAAAAAATATGGAGAAATAACGGAAATATTCGAAAAAAATTTTTATAGGGATATAATGATAAAGTTGAGTGATTACGTAAATTGAGAATCATGTGATATATACAAAATACTATACATGCATTTGAAGATATGACGTCAGCTGTATTTTTTTTATGGGCGATGCTAGGGCAGTTATATGCAACAAATTTTTTCCGTATTTTCCTTATATTATCGAAAATGTGAGAAATACGGTGGCCGCAAAAGGGATCCGGAATATGCATCAAGTTTTTTCCGTATTTTCGGAATTGCCAAATTATTCTTAAAAAACGAATATGTATACAATATTAGGCAAAATTTGTTAAATAACGGTAATTTGGCAAACCGGGGCAAATGAACACGTGCCGCGAAGCGGCATGTGTGCCAATCATTTGCCCGGTTGAGCCAAATTATCGTAT